ACTAAAATTATTTCATTAAAAGCAGGTGAAACAAAGAGATTAAGACTTCTTGGTTCGCTGGTTACCGTGGCCGCTTTAAAGTGGTTACACGTGCTTCTCTGTGGAATAGCGGAAGTAGCAAGCCGGAAATATATCATGTGATCTTTTTCGGAGTGCATCCATTCACGGGTTAGCGTGTACGAACTTTTGAATGTAATTCTAATCGCTTCTTCCGTTTTCTAACTATAATACTGAATTTTTCAATGACTGATCTATGCTCGCGTGTAGGTATAACGCGAATTTGAAACAGTTTTATTAAAGGCTTCTCGAACATTTATGGTTTTTCCTTGATTTCTATTGAGCAACTTCAATTATAGATTTAGATAATTTTACAGAACGAGATTGCTGAGTTTTGCGGGGAATTTCTCGTTTTGTGTTAAAAAAAAAAAAAAAAATTTATAAAATAAACTATCGATGATCATATTTTAATCCTTGATGATGAGATATTCTGTGGAAATCGAGATATAATATTTTCATATAGATTTCAAGAAAGAACTAAATGTTGATATATAAAATATTTTTACTTGTTTTCAGTGCTTTGATTTACTTAATTAGATTAACACGCTTCTAGGAAGAAACATTCTTCTTCGAAAAGTGTTGCACGTTTTGCAAATTTTGTTCAAATGGATGAAACGTGGGCGTTTAATTTTTTTTAAACGTGGTTTAAAAAAAAAAAAAAAATAAACGAAAGTGAAAGCGCAAAGGCCGATCAAAATTCCAGCGAGAAAAACGAATTTGAGACAAGAGAATTTCAATAAGCTTACATTAAAACTGTCTTCGATAGAAGAATTAGTTGTTAAGTTTCATGTTTGATTTATCCTTCTTTGATCTATAGGGCGCTTGTTATTTCAGAAAAAGAATACATGTGTAAAGAATGAATGTCAAATAATGTGAATAATCTTGAACAATCAAATATCATGTATGGCTGTCACGTAAAAAAGTTATTGAATCTATTGTGTCAATGAGGTTAATACATGATCATGATCATGTATAATGCTGAGGTGGAAAAAGAAATCTTTGTGCGCTTATTTTTTTATGATTGTCTGAAACAACTAATCTGCATTTCTTTTATTTTATGTACTGTGGCATCGGAAGTGATAAAAAGTTTTCAAAAGATTTTCAAATATATCGTGAGCGATAGCAGTTCTCTACAATGCAGTTACACAATTACCATGTTTCTTCTTACGCAAGTTGAACACTGTCATTATGCACGTATCGAGGTCACTAGATAATGAAAACGTACCACCTATATGTTTCCACACTTCGATCGTGCATATAAGTTTTGCAACAAATTCTCCTGTTATTAAACTGTTTTTCAAAGATGAATGAAATATTTTCACTTGCACTCTTGATGTATGTAACGTATATTCATTTTTATATATAGATCTCTCTCATTATAAGATCAATGAAGAATGTATGATAATTATCATTCAGTGAATTAAATTGAATTCTTTAATTCAATGAATGGCCTTATTTCAATTAATTGATCTTAGAATGCAAGATCTATCTTATCTTCTATATCTTCTTGTTAATTAAGATCTTTATATAAATAGTCCAATTGCAACTATACTTCTGAACGTTTGTAGACACAATATTTGTCTGACTCTTGTGAGATGATGTCCTGAAGGATCTAATTCGTAATATCACACACATGCACGTATAGACGTATGCAAACATAAGATCAGTATACAATAGGAACGACATTATGCATTTGAGTCCCCTATTCTTACATCGTGTGAATCGTTCCACGAATGAAAAGCTATAGCGTACTTACATCCGGCATAAATCATATTTTTCCTAGAAAATTTTAATTACAAAATGTCGAACGTTTCTTCCTAAATAATTATCAAAATGTTGTTATAATCTACTCTATTTAAATTTTATTAACACAAGTTTCCTACTAATCTTAAATATATTTTTAAAATAGGTATATGTACTTTGATCTCTTGTACTTGATACACAAGTTTCCTACTAATCTTAAATAATTTTAAAAATAGGTATATGTACTTTGATCTATAAGTATTCTCTATCAGAATACTTGTATAGTCAAGGAATATTCTTTTTAAGAAACTTTATAAATATGTATTATGCGAAACATATTTCATTAGTACTATAATGAGATCTGTTGATAATTTTTTAATTGTATTTGCATAATTTGTAAAATTCTATAGAAACTATAAAATATCAAATCTAAATAAATAGCTATACTATATATTATAGAAATTAGAAAAGTTTTTAATATTATTACTATAGTAATATATAGTAGTATACTAATATATATTAATCTTTATGCTATATACTAATTTTTTTTGCCAAATATATATTTGTTTCGTAACTTCTATATATATATTTACAGATTGCTTTTAAATTTTGTCAATATAATCACGATAGTCATGACTCATTACAGTATTAATGAAATTTCAAAATATTATATATAAATAACATTCTGTAAGTAATATTTTCTGTAGTAAGCAGGTATTCAAATACTTTTGTAAGTCCAATTGAAGATAAATCTTTAGATCAAATTTTCTCTTCTATTTTATGCTTACGTCTGGTACTGTTAGAACTCGTTTAGTATGAAAACCTCATGCGAAAAAGACTCCATATAGATTGTAGTACGACGAATAGAAATGTCGCGT